AGTTCTGCAAGAATTCGTGATATAGTGGATGAAGAGCTGTCTTCTGCCGATTTCGTGGAACACCCAGATCCCTGTCCGTATACAGTTGGCGAGGCCATTCTCCTGGAAGTGGGTGTGCGACGCCAGAAGCGTCGGCATGTTTCTCGCATTATCTCTAAGTCAACTGTCGTGATTTCTAAGTCTGGCCGACTTGACAAAGTCATCAACATAGCCTCGATCAAGCCTGATCCCACTCCGGTAGCCGGCCCTGAGTGCAGTCTACAAGCCTCAGGAGATTGTAATGTCTCTGACAGTGAGACTGACGAGGGTGTGCGCATTGAAATCGATGCGGCAGGGGATGTCCCAGATCATGCTCCGCATGGCTTGCGGAATCGTAGCACTTTGCAAGCCCCTCATCGTTATCGTGAGTAACAATAACTTTTAAATGTACTGGAGTAATGTTGTCAGGTGATGTAGTGAAGACGAAGAACTGTTTGTTTTGACAATATGTTATTCAGTTGATTCGATGTTTAATTCCTCTTTGTACTTCAATGTATTTCTGAACTGTACAACTGCTTCGCAGTACTTTCCGTTTTAGTAATAATTACGCTTCATCAATGTTCTCTTCGTTCAAGTAATTTATTTATTATTTATCTTTTGAATCTTGGTCTGTTGCGGACTGTGCACGTGTTTCTGTACATCAGTAGTATACGCTAGCGTTTTACATCTTGTATGATGACTTTGTACTTGCATGCATGCAGGCATGCCAGCTTGTATTTTCGGCGGATATTTTTGGCTTGAGAGGTTGTTGGTCATGGAGGTTTGCTTCGACTTGTAATTCGTATTTTGCTCTCCCAATTTATAATGATAATCTACTCGCGTAACCAATAATAGTTTTTTAGGTTGCGCTGATGTGTGGTTGCACGGGGGTGAACGAGCTAGTTTGGTAACAGTACCGTACCGTACAATCAAAGACGGCTGGCCACAATGCAAAGACGGCTGGCCACAATGCATATTCAAATAGGGCTTTCAAATACAAGATCATAACGTGAAGCAACTTGGAAGAATTAGTATGTATGCGAAGTGTATGGGGGGATGCATGCAGGGCGATAGTTAGGCCTTGACGGATTATGCTAGCATAATTGTTCGCATCATTTCTACCAAAATCTAATATTCGCATAATTCGAGGCAAATTGCATATGAATCGCATAAATTGGAATAATCCGCCTGTTCGCATCAAATTCCATACAGTTGTACATGTTCTACAAGTACAAGTACAAGTAGATGCACCAGGAAGTCGTAGGTTTACGACTCCCTTGATAACATGTCCAGTCTGCTACAATCAGTGACGGTCGTAGCTAGGTCGGACGGTGCGGTGACCCCGTTGAACTTTTGCTACTACAGTACAACGCCCTCTACAAAACAATTCCCCTGGTATTTTGCACAGAACCATCATATACATCAGCAGGATATGTGAGCATAATGCGGCATAATATGATAACTTTTAGCATAAAAATAGCATAATTCTGCAATTTTTTCAGCAATGCGAAAAGCATAATTTCACGAACATGTTAGCATAATCCGTCAAGGCCTAGCGATAGTGCGGGTTCGAATCCCAGGTTATATCTAAAACAAAAAGTAGAAACTTATAAGAACTTATAACATCCCTATGCTTTTTTTGTCTAGGTCATCAATGCAAAAAAGCATAGCGTAGGGCCCTGAGCTTCCAAGCTCTCTCGTTTGACGAGCTCTCTTATGTATTCGATGACCACAACTGTGTAATGTTAGGTGATTTCAATGCAAGAAATTGTGCATGGAAGGACTCTGACGTCACTGACAGTAGTGGTAGAGCACTGCAACTGGCACTTGTGCAATATGGATTCACGGTTATCAATAAGGATGGTACACGCCCCAATATGCGCAGTGGTTGCACTCCTCTACTTGACATCGTAGCAACCAATATTCCAGATATCATCTCGTCTACCACCACTCTCCCACCCCTGTCAGACCACTGCCCCGTTATCGTTTCTCTTACACTACGTGCACCAACACCACAACGGACAACTCTACTGCATCGAACAATTGATTTTAATAGGCTTCGTTTCCTGATGGAAAGGGAACCATTCCTTGAGCGCCTCTATGGATGTGAGACTGTTGATGCTTCTTGGAAAGCATGGGAATCCCATTTCCTAGATTTAGTTGAAAGGTCATCAACCTGGTTGCGTAAGCGTGATCAGCGAAATCAGACGTGGTACACACCTGACCTGCGTCACTTTCAGCGGCGACAGAATAGACTGTACCATGCTTATTTGCGAAATCCACAATCAACTGAAGCAAAGGCAGCGTACTGTGTATCCAGGAATATTTATCGTAAGAAAATCCGTGCTGCCAGATCTGCCTTTCTTGATCGAAACGCTGCCAGTATCTCGAAGGGTTGCACGAAAGGTGGATATGTGTGGTTGAGGAGAGTTAAGGACTTTTGCAACATTTCAACTCGTAAACCATTGATACCAGATTTACAAAATGGCGATCGTCGGACTAACACGCAATTGGAAAAGGTGAACCTTCTTGCACAGCATTTCGCCAATCAGTGTACGTTATCACAAGAAGCAAATCAATTCCCTTGTTTAGATTCCTCCCTTGACACTACCACTCCTCGGTTCCAGATGTCAACATTTTCACCAGGTCAAGTCCACTATGGCCTTACACATCTTTCGTCTCGAAAATCGACTTCAAGTAATTATATTATTCCAGTACTCCGGTCCATGGCTGATTTAGTATGCGAGTCCTTGTCTTACTTGTTCAACTCCAGTCTATCCACATCACAGTTTCCCACTGCATGGAAATCAGCAACGGTTATTCCTCTTTTTAAGGGTAAAGGAAGTGCTTCTTTGCCCACGAACTACCGTCCAATTTCACTGCTCCATCCCATCAGCCGCCTCTTCGAATCCCGCATAGCCCATCACCTGAACAGCTTTCTTTACCGTAATTGCATAATTTCGCCCAGTCAATTTGCTTACGTTCCACAACGATCAGCTACGGATCAACTCATTCTTTTGACCCATCAGATTGCCCGTCTCTCTGATAGAGGCCAGAGATTTGACTGTGCATTTCTCGACTCCCAGAAAGCGTTTGATAAAGTACATCATCCTACGCTCCTGCGCCACATGAATGCATTCATGGCACCAGAGGCACACGCCTGGTTTGGGTCCTACTTGCTTGACCGTAGTCTAAATGTGAAGCTGGATGGAACTCACTCTTCTCAATATATGCTAAATTGTGGTGTTCCCCAGGGTTCGTACCTTGCCCCTCCCCTTTTTCTTTTGTATATCAATTCCCTTCCTGACATAGTAAACCACACCCACAACCTCACCCTTTCTCTTTGCTGATGATGTCACTCTTCTAAATGTTCATAATGTATCCCTCTCCTTAGATGAGAACATGTCCCACCTCCAGCAGGATCTGGCCAGCTGCCAGAATTGGGCTCAGAATATCCATGGGAAATGTTCTCCAGAAAAAACTTTCATCTTTTCGAATCATGTCATTCCTGACTCCTCCTCTGTTTTAATGGACGGCGTTCCTATTGCCTTTGGACGTTCTGCTAAGCATCTCGGCGTACAGCTCAGTGATGGTTTGAAGTTCCATGACCACTTCCACACCATCTTTAGGAAGTTTCAGCAACGAGTCAACCTGTTGTGTTTCATGGGCAGACATTTACCATTGTCCCATATTCTCCTCTTGTATAAGTCGTATGTGCGTCCGGCAATTGAATATGCCATTCCTGTCTGGTCATTTAGGATCACATCCGCTCAGTTAGAGTCCCTTGATGTACTCCAGGCTAAGGTTTGCCGGCGACTCCTGAAGTCTGCAAAAATAACCTTTGATATCTATGAATCAAAATCCAATTTGAATAGGTTGTGTCACTTAGAATCTCTGCAATTTCGCCGTATCTTTATTTCTCTTGTTGTTTTATTTAAGTACATCAATTTCCACCCAGAATATCTCTCTCGCTTTGCGATAACCATATCACGTAGTGCCCGTAGGCCCAAAAAGCTCGTTTTTAACTCACATGGTCGTATTTTTTCATCCCTTTTTCTACAGAAAACTGGTTCTCTTTGGAATTGTCTTCCACCCCGATTGACAACTTTAGATTCCCTATCTGAATTCAAGCGTCATTTACGTATTCACATTGCTAAGTATCAGTTCGATTGCACTGGTACACCTTTGATGTGCAATCATTGATTTACATGCTTGTTCTTTTCTTTTCTGTCTTACTTTCTTTCCTTGTGTTTCTTATTATTCCTTTTTCAAACCAACATTTCACACTCACTTTGCGCACTTTCTCTCGCATCCTTAACTATGTTACTAGTACATACACAAATAGGAGATCCCCTAGATAGGCGTTAGGCTTTGGGTAATCCTGAAATAAAGATTATTACTATTATTATGTACCAGTCGACTCAGCGTCCAAAAGACTACAACATATGGGCCAATCGCGGTCATCCGTGCTTTTATAAGAACGAAATGGCGCTTTTAGCGACATTTTGCATACAAATCCCCATCTCGTAGGGCGCAGTCACCCAGTTTCAGTGGAAGTGCGCGAGTTCAATTAGGATTAAAGGGGAAGTTAAGGCAAAAATCAAAATTTCACCAGTTGTAGTCTTCGGGGTACTGAGTCGAATGGTCGTGGTCCGAGGAAGCT